AATACACATCAGCTAAGCATAAACATATATTTATATACATATATATTATAACCAAAGAAAGTAATCTTTTAGTAAAGAAAATTATGAATAAACACAAACTGGACATATCTTTGTTATAATTTAAATACACTAAAAGTCTTTCAAATATTCATCATTTTTTTTATAATTTGATGATTTATCAATTTATTCTCCATTCAAGCATAATAATATACAGAGAGAAAGAGATAAATATTTATAAAATTTCTTGTATATTACACAAAATATTCCTGCATTTTCACATAGAATTGTGTATATCAAGCAAAGACTGGAAATAAAAAGGCATTTGATATATTCATTATATATACATGACATCATGCGTATTAACATGAGTCGATAAATGCATGGATGTGAATTTTAACATTATGTTGTGATCGATAGAATATTTAATGTCTTAATTTATTTACAAGCGTACAGAAAAATTTATATATCTATATATATATATGTATATGTATATGTATATGTATGCGTATGCATTTTGTACAAGTTGTATTATACTAACCTTTATTATTTGTATAAATAAATATTTGTATTAAATTACAGAATATATAATAATGACTTCATTAATTTAAATAAATATTCGTTTTATATATCAATGCAAAATGCAAACATATCTTTTTCTTTTTTTTAATCAATACAATATTAATATTCTTTGAATTCTCTCGAGATTATTTGTCTGCAACAGAATACCACAATCAATATTACTATTATCGTTCATTTGTATAAAAAAGATATTTGCTATAAAGAACAAATCTTTTCCAAAATAACAAATAATTTTAAGATATATAATTTTGTTTAAAAATAACTTTGTAAGATACTTTTTTTTAAAGTGGAGTTAATCGCATTGACCTGTGAACTTTTCATATAATTATTAAAAACAATCAAGTAATTCTAAGTACTTTAATTAAAACTATTTAAAGATACATACTTTGTAACTACAGGATAATTTCAAAACTATATTGATTTTCTATTTAAATATAACGATATAGGGACTAGATAAATACTTGCCAACAACTAACACATCAGTTTTAATCTACTTTTTAATCATCATCGTCATCATCATCTGATGGGACGAAGAGATCATTTTCTTCTAGAAAATTAGCCATCTTTTTACTAAGAGAAGCACCTACAATCAATCCTAATAATATTCCGCCTACTACACGTAAATAACCAAATGGGGTTCGTTTCGGTTCAGGAAGTATAGCACCCGATGGTGTAGTGATTTTTGAACGAAATATTTTTTTATTCATACTCTTAAGTCCACTCAAAATTTGCACTTTCGTCGATGCTGAGGTTAACCGTTGTAAAACCATTATAATTAAAATAATTGAAGATTTAAAAAGTTTCCAACGTTAAAAGATCAATCAAATTAATTTAAAGTATTTTGATCGATCAATATAAATACTTGATAAAAAATGTATTAAGCACAAATCACAGAAATTGGAATGAACACTAAGAACTCCTAAAATTATCAAGCTTCAATATGGTTAATGTAATTATAAAGATATGCCATCGTTTGAATATTATAACCCACGAATTTAGTTCGTAATATCAAAATCAGATGGCGTTGTAATATTCGTGTTGTAGCGGCAAGAATCAGGAACTAGAATACTATTGGTTTGAACTCTGATCACCACTACTATTTTTATGTAACATTTATTTATTTATAAACTATTACAGAACAAAACGAAAACAAGAACAAAAACGGATAACAAAAATGCGTTGAGGATTAATACGTTGTGGAGCGAATA